AAAAAAAAAAAAAAAAAAGAGTGACTGACATAAACCAGGGCCCACGAGCAAATTCGCGTTCTCTCTTTCGAAGCCTCCCACCAAGTCCAAAGTCTCGGCAAGCCCAACGACATGGTCGAGCGCATCAAGAACACCGAGTTCTTCAAGCCCATCTGGGGTGACCTGGATGAGATGATGAAGCCCGAGCTTTACATCGGTCGCAGTGCCCAGCTTGTTGACAAGTTCTGCGGCCCTGGTGGTAAGCTTGAGAAGAAGCTTCAGCCTTACCAAGCGGCTATCCAGAAGGCTAAGGCTGCTGAGTTGAATGTTTAAAAATGTAAAAGAATGAATGAGAATTTGAGGTAGGGATAGAGAGGTAGGGTTAGATTGGCTATTGTAAAGATATCATAAAAGAAATGTTTTTGGCTTAGTTTCTTCTTTCCCATATCGGCCTGTGTATTGAGGCTTGAGACATGAGTGAAATATCATGATCTGGATGGATTGTTAGCTTCCAACGACGGTATCTATGTTCATTCACTGAACCATCTTATGTTTTTGCTCAAATATAGTATATTTGCCCTATCTCGACCTATCTCCTACTGTGAGTTCTGGTAATTGCTTTATCCCTTTACACGAAGTCGCTTCATGTGCATCCTGTTACCCTGAGCCTTTGTGTACACCTTCAATAATGAGGGCTGTGTAACTCAATCATCCAATCTTTGCCTCATCCCGTATCAAGTTTTAGTCTTGGGCACAGCTGCCTTATCAGTTGGGATCATGACTTGATGCTCTTTCACTCGTTTCGGGACATATGTCTGTACAATGTAATGAATCATATATCCTAATCCGTGGGCCTGCTTACTGTATATAATATTCGGTCAAGGTAGAAAAGTGCGGTTCTGATAGGTTTCGAACGTAGGACAGAACCCTCGGATCCCGACAGCCAAGTCGGAATCAGGCTGTCCGATCTAAGACTCATGATACTGCCTTGGTGGAAATACGGGCTATAACTCCTTCTTCCACTGGAGAATGCGGCTTCGGACTCCGAATTCGATCAAAACACAATCACCGACGATGATAATGCCTTGAATTAGGCAAATCAATCGAGCAGTCCCTCAGCATTGAGCAATAGCTTCACAATGCCAAGAGCGCCTTGTGTAGCAAACATCCGCGATCATTGACCCATTTGGCCATCCTCACAGAATCGTCAGCAGTTAGCGCCCAACTTCTCCAATTGCCGTTGAGATTATCTCGGGAAATGTGTCGGGGATTGTAGTAGTACGGTGTTGGTGGCGTCGACAATAGGATGCCAAGTCCTGCGAGGCGTCGTTAGTGATGATACAGTATCAGGCTTCAAATATGGGAGATGCCACTGTTTGACAAGGCCAAGTTCTCAAACTCAATTCAACTCAATCTTCTTATTTTCCAGTGTTCTCGACATGCAGCTTGGAGACATGGATAAGCCTCACACCAATGGTTCGGCTACTGCCAACCAGCCTGTCAATGGCGACGACACCAATGGCATCGCTATCAATGGTGATACCCATCCCAAACATACCAAAACGTACGAAGAGAGGGCCGAGGACTCTATCAAAAGAGAAATCGATCTTCAAGTCATGCGCTACCCAGAAACTGGCATCACAGTTCTCATCGCTGGTGCTGGTCTGGGAGGTATAACCTGCGCTCTCGAATGCTGGCGCAAAGGCCATACCGTCCGTGTTATAGACCGCAGCCCTTCTCCCGTCTGGACAGGCGACAATGTCCAGATCCAACCCAGCGCAATTCTTCTTCTTCGACATTGGCCTGACATGGGCTATGAGATTGAGGAGAACCAGTATGATGTCGCTATGTCATACTACAAACAGACCGGCGAGAGGATCTGGGGTCCTGCACCCCCCATGTTCAATGACCCCGAGAACCTGAAGGGTCGACGTGGCTTCCCGTCTGTCAATGCGCACAGTCGCATTAAACTGTACCGCGCGTTCCTGCGACAGGCAGAGCGTGTGGGAATCAAGGTAGAATGGGGCCACAAGGTCGTTGAGTACTGGGAGGATCTTGAACAAGGCGCTGGTGGTGTCACCCTTGAGAATGGAGAGAAGAGGACTGCTGATATCGTTGTTGCCGCCGATGGGCTTCGTACCAAGTCGAATACTATTGTTCCGATGCCTGAGACGCTGACGACGAGTGGAAAGGCGATTTATCGGGCAGGTTATCCGGTCGAGTATGCGCTTAAGGATCCTCTTGTTAAGGAGATGTGGAACTTTGATCCTGAGGGACAGCCTATTTGGCAGTTTTGGCTTGGGTGAGTTGGTCTTGATGCGTCTGGAATGATTGACTGACCGTTCGCAGAAATGGCTCCCACAACATGATTGCGCTCACAAAGGATATCGCGTTTTGGAGCTTCATCCACTCGGTAAGTTTCGCCTTCACCTCTTCAACTTGACTCTGCTGACCTCCCAGCACGATGAATCTGCCAACGAGTCCTGGGTTCCAGACGTCGACCCAGCCGAAGTCATCGCCGCAATGGAAAAGAACAACGCCGTTCATCCAGCCGTAGCAGCCTTCATCAAAACAGCCCCCAAAGGCTCCGTCGTAAACTGGCAACTCAAGTTCCGCGACCCCCACGAACAATGGACATCCCCCGGCGGTCGCGTCGTCCAACTTGGCGACGCAGCCCACGCATTCCTACCAACCTCAGGCAACGGCGCAACTCAAGCTATCGAAGACGGCATAACCCTCGCAACATGCCTCCAACTCGCCGGTAAATCCCAAGCCGCCAACGCAACCAAGGTATACAACAAACTCCGCTTTCAGCGCGTCTCATGTGGTCAGAAGATGGGTTTCGTGAACCAGCAGCTCAAGCAGCACACAGACTGGGACGCCATTGCCAAGAACCCTGCCCTGATCAGATCGCGATATCCGAAGTGGGTTTGGAGCCATGATGCTGAGGCGTATGCGTATGAGAAGTTTTGTGAGGCTCTGCATCATGTTTTGAGTGATGGGAAGATTCCGTTGCATAATACGAATTTTCCACGGGGACATAAGTATAGGCATTGGACGATGAAGGAGGTGCAGGAGCAGATTAAGGTGGGGCAGAAGTTGGAGGATTTGCAAGATGGGGATTGGGCTTAGATTGAGTCAGGTGATGAGTTGAGTGTCTGTTGGTGTTTGTGCTTAGGGAGTCAATTGGAATGACGTTGTTTGTTAAGCTGGGCATGTGATGGCTTCATTGATGACTCAGTGTTTGACCCCCGTGAAGGTAAGTGACTTCTATGGAGAACACCTCACGGAGATAACATACTGAATAATGATGTTTAGACACTTAGAACATTCTACCAAGGCTACTTGTCACTTACACGTCCGGCAGATCATCCCTTCAGGACAAAGATCGACAGGCTATCTTCACTGCTTTGACTTAGCCTGCAACCCAACAAGTACCCCATTTAACTCAGCATACCCAAGCACCTCTATTAATCCAAGCTAAAAGATCTCACTCTATCATCTACCCAACAAATGAATGCCATGACAACTCATCAACAACCTCTCCCTCCAAAACAGCCTCAATGACCGACAACTCACTTCCAGCAGGCCGTTCAATAGCCCGAATCTTCAACCGTGAATCAGCCTTACAAAGCAACGCACCCCACTCCTCAACCTCTCGCTCCTTCGCGTTAAAAGTCTGGATCATAGTAAGATCCTTCTGTCGCAGCGCCGCCTCAAAAGTCTTATTCCCGGATCCCGGCTGAGGCAGCACCATGTCCATGATCAGCAAGCGACTGTTAGGACCCATAGCCTCAACTACACCCTGCAGGATCTTCACGGCGTCGGCATCAGGCCAGTCGTGGAGGATGGTGCGAAGGAGGTAGACGTCAGCGTGCTTAATGGGCTGAGGAGTGAAGAAGTCGTATTCTATCATGGAGATGCGGCTCTGAATGTCCGAAGGGAGGTCGGAGATGCGAGAGCGGGCGTTTTGGATGGGCTCGGGCAGATCTTGGATTATGAGATTGAGACTAGGGAATGCTGTGGCTAGCATGATGGAGGTTGAGCCACTGCTTCCACCAATCTAAGGACCGTCAGTTCATCATCAATCCTGTTGAAGAGAGATACTTACATCAACGACAGTAGCTTCACCCAATGCCTTCCAATTGAACGCATGGAGCAAGTGCTCAACATTGGACCCGGTGTGAGACACGGCCCGACTCTTCATGTAAGCATGAAAAGCCTCTCCCAAATCAGGATTCGCCTTAAGATAACCAAAGAACGAAAGATCCGTATCATAAACAACATTATACGCTGTCTCATTCGTCTGCGACGTATTGCCCCATCTGGCACTAGCTTCTTTCAGAGCCGCCATAATAGGAACAGTCTGGTTAAACATGTACAAAAGCTGCGTGCGCATATGAACGTCTGTAACAAAATGACGAGACAAGTCATTGTGCGAGAGTCGTCCATCCTTGGTCTCGCAGAGAAACCCTGCCGTCATAGCCATGCGCGCTACAGACTGCAGTGTTGACAAGGGCACTTTGGCCTGCATGGCGACTTCAGGGTAGGAAATTGCCTTGGAAGGGAGTGGGATGAAAGAAAGTACATCGAAGTGACAAAGCCAGCCGATGCAGTAATACTGCTGCTGCTGGACGACGAGTTCGGTTAGGAAGCTGTGAGGATCATGCACCAGCTGTTTGAGCTGAGTGGCATATTCGATAACAGAGTCTCTATCAGTCTTGTTCATTGTGACTTGTCAGGTGATGATGTCTATGATGGTGGTGTTATGCTGTATGCAGATAAGATTTAGGTAGTATCGTATCGATGGAACGTAAAGCAAAACGCGAGGTACGCGAGCTATCAATCCGGTTTTGTAATAAGCTTATGATCAATACGACTCTGACAACAGAGCGACTAACACGGCTTCCGAACTCCATTAATGCCCGGATACAATAAACAATTGCCGATCAAGTCCCCGGTAGAGTCCCCGTAGCCACACTCGGCTGCCGTCTGACAGGGCTGCAAGGCCTGCAGGATCTGATGTCCCTGATTTGCATCATCCTGGGTGAAGATCTGTTTCCTATCTCGAGAACCTCAGCTCGGGATTCATTTTTGGGAGTCAATTACTTCGGCAAACAAGGAAAACAATGACGGCATTTGGGAATCAAGGCAAGAAAGATATGGTATCGGATTCCGAGGAGAATAGCATCATCAATAAGATTACGGTGAGAATGAGAAAAGAGATAATAACATTAAATGAAAGAGTAGATAAAAAGAGACAGCATCGCTTCAAGTAAGATGAAATAGCAGCAAACAATAGACAAGACAATTAGACTTCAACCTACATCTTTACAAGATTCAACACCTTTGTCATGGCTTCCCATCTCAAGCTATATCTCTTCGGAGATCAAACCTTTGAGATCCAGCCTCATCTTAAAACCCTCTTTCAAAAGCGCGACAATCTTTTTCTCCAAGATTTCTTGAACAAGGGATACCATGCCATCCGCGTGGAGCTTTTCAAGGTTCCTTATAGCATTCGGAAAGATCTTCCGCGATTTACATGTCTCGAAGATCTTCTTCTTTGGGATCAGAGTGGACAGCGATGTGTTGCGCTTGATATGGCGATGACTACGCTTTACCAACTTGCCACATTCATCAGGTATGCTATGCATTCGACTTACATGGATTGATGCTAATATCAGATAGTCAAGCAGGTATTTCGTCATATGACGCACAGAATACAAGGGTCGTTGGACTTTGTACAGGCGCCTTTGCAGCTGCAGCTATCAGTTGCAGTAGTTTCACAGCAGACCTTATTCCCATGGCTGTATCAGCCGTTATTGCCTCTTTCAGAACTGGTCTGCTTGTTACTGATACTGCTAGAAGGGTTGACCCTTTGCAGGACCAGAGCTGGGCACTTCTTGTTCCTGGACAAAAGGCGACCGCTGCTATTGAAGAGTATTGCGATCAGAATGATCTACCCTTGGCGAGTAAGCCATATATCAGCGCTTATGCTCCGAATGGTATCACTGTTAGTGGTCCGCCAAAGCGTCTGTCTGATCTTACGCGATGGTTGTCCTCCAAGAGTATCACTTCAAAGAGCATTCCTATCTTTGGCGCATACCATGCTCCTCATCTTTACTCTCAGAAGGATGCTCGAAGGATTATCAGCAGCCTCATGCTCAACGAGGCTACAGCTCTCTCAGAGCAGATCCCCGTTCTCTCAAGCACAGGTGTCAGGCCTGAAGAGCGCAGCTTCGTCACACTCCTTGAAGACGCCATCGCTCAAGTGCTTCTTCATCCACTCCGCTGGAATTCCATCTTCGAAGGTGTTCAAACTTCTTTGGAAGATGCTTCTGCTGAGCAGTTCAGCATTGCGCCGATTGGTACCACTGCTGAGCATTTGATCTACACTGCTCTGAAGAAGACGTCTCTACGCTCTCTTGTTCCTGATACATCGGCTCCGAGCCAGAAGATCAAATTCGAGAACATCCCTGACTCAGGAACTAGCAAGCCCAAGCTCGCCATTGTTGCAATGTCCGGTCGCTTCCCTGGCGCCAAAGACAACGAAGCATACTGGGATCTCCTCTACAAGGGTCTCGATGTCCACAAGCCGGTCCCAAGTCTTCGCTGGGATCAAAAGACTCACGTCGATCCTACAGGTAAGGCCAAAAACACTGGTGCTACACCTTTCGGGTGCTGGCTCGATGATCCTGCCTCATTCGACGCTCGCTTCTTCAATATCTCTCCCCGAGAAGCTCCTCAGGTCGATCCAGCTCAGCGACTCGCTCTCATGACAGCGTATGAAGCCATTGAACAGGCTGGTATCGTTCCAGATGCCACTCCCTCCACACGGCCTGATCGCGTCGGTGTCTTTTACGGAGTCACCAGCAACGATTGGATGGAAACGAACAGCGCTCAGAATATCGACACGTACTTCATCCCTGGAGGAAACAGAGCCTTCATCCCCGGTCGCATCAACTACTTCTTCAAGTTCAGCGGTCCTAGTTACGCTGTTGACACAGCGTGTTCTTCGAGTTTGGCTGGTATCCATCTTGCTTGCAATGCCCTTTGGCAGAATGATGTCGATACTGCTATTGCAGGTGGTACTAACGTCTTGACAAACCCTGACTATCACGCTGGCCTTGACCGTGGTCATTTTCTGTCTCGAACTGGCAACTGCAAGACATTTGATGATGGTGCTGATGGTTACTGTCGAGGTGAAGGTATCGCTACCATCATTATGAAGAGACTCGACGATGCCCTTGCTGAGAACGACCCTATCCTGGGTGTTGTCCTCGGCGCATACACAAACCACTCCGCTGAATCAGAGAGTATCACTCGTCCTCACGTCGGAGCCCAACGCGTCATCTTCAACAAGATCCTCAACGAGGCAGCCGTCGATCCCTACAGTATTGGCTACGTCGAGATGCACGGAACCGGAACCCAAGCAGGCGACGCAACAGAAATGTCCTCCGTCCTAGAAACATTTGCACCACCAGCTACCTCCAAAGCCGTCCGAACAAAAGACCAGCGTCTGTTCATTGGTTCAGCAAAGTCCAACATCGGTCACGGCGAAGCGGCTTCTGGAGTGTGCAGTGTCATCAAGGTTCTCCAGATGATGAAGAAGAACACCATCGTTCCGCACTGTGGTATCAAGACTAAGATCAATCATCGCTTTCCTACAGACTTTGGGGAGAGGGGCGTTAGGATTGCTTTTGAGCCTACGCCCTGGGAAAAGCTCAGTGTTGATGTGCCAAGACGGGTCATGGTGAACAACTTCAGTGCTGCTGGAGGTAACTCTGCGCTGCTGATTGAGGATGCTCCACTCAAGAAGAAACTTCTTGGTGGAAAGGATTCTAGGATTCAGTTCCCGATTGCCTTCACGGCAAAGAGTGGTGTTTCTCTTCAGGGCAACCTGAGATCCATGCTCAAGTTCCTTGGTGAGAACCCCGATGTCTCTCTCCCTGAGCTCTCATACACGACCACCGCTCGTCGCATTCACCATCAGCATCGTGTTCTCATTTCAGGCTCTTCGCCCAGCGACATCTGTGGCAAGATCGAAACTGCTCTTCAGAACAATACTGGTGTCAACCGTCCCAAGGCCGCACCCAAGGTTGTCTTCAGCTTCACAGGCCAGGGAGCACAATACCCAGGAATGGGAAAACAGCTCTTCGAAGAAAACCCCTTCGTGCGCAAGGAACTTCTCCAACTTGACCAAATCGGCCAGAACTTGGGCTTTCCTTCCATGATTCCTTTTATCGAATCCGAGGAACAAGACGTTGCCAAGTTTGCACCTTCGCTTGTCCAACTTGCTAGTGTTTCTCTCCAGATCACATTGAGCAAACTCTGGGCTTCCTGGGGCATTATACCTAGCGCTGTTGTTGGACACAGCCTTGGGGAGTATGCCGCTCTCAATGTCGCCGGCGTTTTGTCAGACACTGATACCCTCTTCCTTGTTGGTGGTAGGGCGCAGTTGCTTGAGACGAAGTGCTCGCGCGGTACACATGCTATGCTTGTTGTCAAGGGATCCCAAGACGAGATTTCCGAGGCTCTGAAAGGTGAGAAGTATGAGACTGCTTGTATCAACTCTCCTGTCGAGACTGTCCTTGCTGGGCCGAATGACCAGATTGCCAAAGTCAAGGAGATCCTTACTGCCGCAAGCTTCAAGACTACTCTGCTCAAGGTTCCTTACGCTTTCCACTCGTCTCAGCTTGAGCCGATGGTTGGTGATATCGAAGACTTGGCTAAGAAGGTCACATTCTCTGAACCCACCATTCCTGTTCTTTGTCCTCTTGATGGTACCGTTGTTGAAGATGGCGATGTCTTCAGCGCTTCTTACCTTGCCAAACACTCTCGCCAGCCCGTCAACATGCTGTCCGCTCTCACAAACGCCTACCGCGACGGTACCATCAGCGATCGCCACATGATGCTCGAAGTTGGTCCTCACCCTGCTGTCACAGGCATGGTCAAGCCCACTCTCGGCCAACAAATGACATGTATTGCTTCCCTGCAGCGCGGCAGAGCACCGTGGGAGATGCTATCCGCCGCACTCAAGACCTTCTATGACGCAGGCTCCAACATCAACTGGGCAGACTACCAGAGCAGTTTCCCAGGTTCACACTCTGTCGTCGCAGTTCCGGCTTACAGCTGGGATCTCAAGGAATACTGGATCAAGTATGTTAACGACTGGTCCCTTAGAAAGGGTGATCCTCCTTTGGTCATCAGCAATGCGCCCAAGCTTGAGAGCACCACCATCCACAATGTTGTCGAAGAGAGCGGCGACTCGAACAAGACGCATATCATCGTTGAGGCTGATATTACGCGCAAGGATTTGAGTCCTCTCGTTCAGGGTCATGAGGTTGATGGTATTCCGCTCTGCACTCCATCTGTATATGCTGATATCGGTTTGACTCTCGGCAAGTATCTTTTGGAGAAGTACCAGCCTCAGAATAAAGATAATATGGTTGTCGTTTCGGAGATGGACATCAAGAAAGCCTTGATCTTGCGAGGTGATGGGTCGAAGCAACCTATTCAGGCTCATGCTGAAGCCGACTGGTTGTCCAACTCTGTCGCTATCAAGTTCATGTCCTTCGATGTAAGTGTTTCCCCTTCCATTTCGCACTTCAGTACTAACCGCTCACAGAACAAGGGAAGCCTTCAAGAACACTCCACCTGTGTCGTCCGCTTTCAAGACAGAAGCCACCAGCAATCTCTACAGTCTGAGGCCTCCAGCACATTCCAGAAAATGCAAAACCTCCGCTCACAGATCACAACCGGCGAAAGCGCCCGCTTCAATCGTCCCATGGCTTATCGCATGATCCGACCGCTCGCCCGTTTCCACGATGACTACCGCGCGATCGACGAAGTCGTGCTTAACAGCACAACCCTCGAGGCATCCAGCAAGATCAGCTTCGGCACTGTGAAACGCGATGGCGATTTCCATACCCATCCTGCTGTCATTGATTCGCTTACCCAGTCATGTGGTTTCGCGATGAACTGCAATGATAACACGGATATTGACGTCGATGTTTATATGAACCATGGATGGGGCTCTTTGGAGCTGTTTGAGGAGCTGGACTTTGAGAAGGAGTATACTACTTATACTCAGATGTTCGAGGGTGAGGATAAGCTTTGGTATGGTGATGTTGTGATCTTTGATGGTGATCGCGTCGTTGCTTTCTTTGGACAGATCGCGGTAAGCGCCGACAATAAGTATCCCCTAACATGGTACTGATTTTTCACTAGATCCAAGGTGTCCCTCGACGAGTGCTCAAGGTCATTCTCTCTATTGAGAGTGGCAAGAAGGGTCAGCCCCAACGCCAAGTCCAGGACAAACCCCAAACCACGCCGTCCAAGGCTTCACCTGCCAAGCCAACTCAGAACAAGCCTCCAGCCAAGACGGTAACCACCAAGTTCTCAACCGCAATCCGCATCATCTCCGAAGAAAGTGGAATCGAAGTAGCCGACTTCACCGACGGAACAACCTTCTCAGACGTAGGAATCGACTCCCTCCTGGGCCTGACCATCTCGGCCCGCTTCCAGGAAGAACTTGACATCGACCTTGACTTCAACGCTCTCTTCTTCGAACATCCAACCGTTAAGGATCTTCGCGATTTCTTGCAAGGCCCAGAGGAAGATGTTAGCGGAAGTTCCAGCTCTGCGGCTAGTGACTCTGGTCGTGAGACCGATACAAGCGGTAGTGCCACACCTGAACTTCGAGAAGAGTTTGTCAAGACCATTGATGTCGAATTTGAGCGTGCTCTGGAGATCATATCTGAGGAGAGCGGTGTTGCGCGTGCTGATCTAGACGATGATACCAACTTTGCGGACTGTGGTGTTGATTCGCTTTTGTCGCTTGTCATTGCCAGTCGTTTCCAAGATGCTTTTGACTTGGATGTTCGACATGAGCAGTTGTTCATGGAGTGTCAGACTGTCGCTGATCTTAGAACCATGCTCGCCAAGGAACTGGGTCTTGCTGAGACTGCGCCTGCTAAGAACAAGCCTGTCGATGTACCTGCCCCAGTTGTTTCCGAGGCAGTTGCTGAAGAGACTGCAGTTGTGCACAGCGATATCACCACTCTTGCTTCGCGAGAGAAGGCTATCACTGAACTTGTACAGAAGTACACAGGTGGTTTCTCTGCGCCAACTTCCACTCCCTCCAGTCCAGCTCTTGGCAAGAGTGACAACGTAGTTCTCGTTACGGGCGCATCAGGTGGCCTTGGTAGCCATCTCGTCTATGCCATCGCCCAACTCGAAGAGGTTCGCACTGTCGTCTGTTTGAACCGCCAGAACAGAGAAGACCCCGAGACCCGTCAGTACAAGGCTATGCGCGACAAGGGCATCCGCTTCCCCGAGCATCTCAAGTCCAAGCTTCGAATCTTCCAGGCCGATACCTCAAAGCGAAAGCTAGGACTGCAGGATAGCGATTACGATTCGGTGGTGAAGGATGTCACCCATATCATCCACAATGCATGGCCCATGAGTGCAAAGCGGCCTCTTTCTGGCTTCGAGTCTCAATTCCAGGTCTTCCGCAATCTTCTCGATCTCGGTCATGCTTGTGCTTCCAGTCGTCCTGAGGACTTCAAGTTCAGCTTCCAGATGGTTTCATCCATTGGTGTCGTTGGACAATGGGGTCTCGCAGCTGGTCAAACTGGCAAGATTGTTGTTCCCGAACAGAGAGCTACCATCGATTCACTCCTCGGTAACGGGTATGCTGAAGCGAAATGGGGTTGCGAGAGGATGCTCGATGAGACTCTTCACAAGTATCCCAACCGCTTCCGTCCCATGGTGGTTCGTCTGGGTCAGATCGCTGGGTCGAAGACGAGCGGTTACTGGAACCCAATGGAGCATTTCGGATTCCTCATCAAATCGTCCCAGACATTGAACGCTTTGCCTGATGTCGATGGAAACCTCAACTGGACACCTGTCAATGACATTGCAGACACTCTGACTGACCTCGCCCTCTCCGATCGCGTTCCCCATCCCATCTATCACATCGACAACCCGATCGGCCAACAATGGCGCGACGTAAACAACATCCTGTCCGACACCCTCCGCATCCCCAACCTCGTCCCCTTCAAACAATGGCTCGATCTCGTGCGAAAGGCACCTCAACAGGATAACCCCGCTGCTCTGCTCGCAGACTTCCTCGAAGATACATACCTTCGTATGGCATGCGGCGGTCTCGCCCTGGATGTGAAGAATACTCTCGAGCACTCCAAGTCGTTGGCTGCAGTGGGACCTGTTTCGGAGACGGTGGTGAGGAAGTATATTCATATTTGGAAGGAAATTGGCTTCTTGAAGACAACTGCTGAGGACAAGGCTGGCTTTGAAGCTGAGCGGATGAGGCTTTGGGGACCTAGGGTATAGATTACGAAGGGAATTTGAACGGTCTGTGGTGAGGATTGGCGCGATTTTAGACATTCTTTATTTTCTTTAGTGAATATTTCTCCATATAGACGAATTCAGATTGCATAAAATCATCCCTTAGTAACAAAGCTATGACGACTTTAGTAGAGCCTTAGGTAAATTCCTAGCTAAGCGGTGCAGTGCTTGACAGCTGCCTACACCTGCCGTGATTCAGAGTTATTAAATCACATGGAGAAGACCAAGAGGCAGCCTAATTTCTTGACTTAACTCGAGAACTATCAAGCCTGTCATTTCCTTTCATCATCATCATCACCACCACCGCCATCGAAGCATCGGTTTCCCGAGATGCCCAACCTTCAGGCGGCGAAGCCTATAGTGAGGCTCAAGTGTCCCAACGGGACATACAAAGAGATTCAGGAAGGTGAACTTTTCGAAGCGAACGGAGGGAAGCCTGAAGACCTTCTAGATGACGAGAGATGGCTCCGATCACCGACTGCCACTGAGGTTATACCGATTCAGGCTCGGACTACACCAGTAAAGTATCGCCCAAACCAACCTCCTCTCTTTTTCGACCCACAACGTCATAAGGGGACAAGAGGCGATGATGCAACCTTCAAGGATCGCTCGGTATGGGAGCCTCTAGCCCTCAAGGAGCAGTCTACTGTGAGGAATACTACATCCGGGCATGTCGTATTCAAGCTCGTTGCCAGGGCTTGTAGGGATAGCGACAGCATAGTAGACAAGTTCCCATCGACGAGACTTGGGCCTGGCGATATTCAGGGAGTTTTCGTCGGTATCTCAGCCATCGACTTCCTGCCGATGGTATTGACCAAAAGCCCAGAATGGAATAGAGATGCTCAAGAGAATACTGACGGCCTGGGATCTGTCAAATTGGAAAACTCGTGCGATGCATCTGGTGGCAGAGAGATTATCTGGCTCGAAAACATGTTGATTCCGGGCAACATCGCGCACGTCAAATCTGCACTTTTCAACACACTAGCCGATTCTGAGAAAGAACACTTCATGCGGGTTGCTAAGCGCGAGAACAGTCTTCTCAGACGTGGGTTGAGTCCTGCTGGGGTTGCAAAAGTCCTTCCTTCGAGCGAGTCACCAGACCGCAAGCCGGCGATTTGTCGATCTATTCATAACGGCCAAAGCTACGACACTTTGCATTACATACTGCGCTGGCCCCCGATGGCTGTTTTGACATTCCCACCCGAAATGATCGAGGAGATGAAGAGGTTTCTGCGCCAATACCCCCATGATAATGTGCCTTTGAACATTGCACTAGCTGCAGCAATCATCCATACGGATCTGGCTGATGAGGGTTGGCCAAACGAAGGATTTTTGTCTCATCGCTTTGAGGGGCCAAAGGCTATCAAGCCTACTCCCCTTGCCAGGTTCATTTTGTACTTCCCTCATATGCTCAGATACGTTGAGACAAAACACCTCACCGCATTCATTCATCCGGCTCGTTTCGCAACCTACCACTCCAATCGAGATCCTTCAGTCTACGCATCTTCCATCAATCAGAAGGAAATGAAGACCTGGTGCTCACAGATTCGGTCACGATATCCTCAGGTCTCAAGTAAGTGCAGGTTGAATCTGATTCCTGCTTCTATGCCAGGTACTCAGATGGTGTTCCCCGCGGATTGCACCAGCGCAGAGCCTCCAACGACCGATCTTTTCCAGATTTGTTGCTTGGACGACATTCGAACTCTTGGACTACCCAGCTACCACCATAACAAGCACTATGATCTCGAGGATCATGGGAAATTCCGCTACATCGGCGGTCCAACGTGGCTCTTTTCCAAACACCTCAACCGCGCCACCTACGCCCTGGCGCATACCCTGGGTGTGAACTATTGGCTGCCTAGTTCCGACACGAGAATTATGACTCTAAGTGGTCCAGCAAAGAAGGTCGGCCCGGTATTTCGAGATCTCCCGTTGCCTAGCAATGACAACGCACTTACTGGTATGACTCAAGCGGTTCAGCGACGTTTCGGGATTATGGCCCCCTATACCAAGGACTACGACTATCAAGATAGCATCTCGAGCCAGACTCGCAAAAAGCGGTCTTCTCGGGCAAATGAGCTGTTCAGAGTGGCAAGATACATGGAAATTCCCATCGACCACCTACGACTATGTCCGAAGTCCGGCTATCCTACTTGGGAAGGCATGGAATCCCAGCTCAAGAACCTGGCGAAGGATGGGTTGCTGGATGGTATTATCAACGGGGACGGAGCTACTCCTACACCAAAGCGTCCCCGAACCTCTGAACGCAAGCTGGATGACTCTGTTAAGGCCAAGATTGAGGGCCTGCTAGGAAGCGCGGCAGCTGTATCCCGAGACTGGGAGGCTCTACGAGTCTATCTCCAAGGCAGTGAACTGACCATAGAAGGGGCACGAAAGTCTCTGTCGCAGCTGCAGTCGTTCATCGCCAGCATAGAAAAGGAGTTTTGTTCCGAAAATGCCACCAATGGAAGAGGCAATCTCAAGGAGGTCATAAGACTCACTTTCAGAGCTGCTGGTCTCGAGCCAGAACTTGCGTTGGCGGCGTGCGAGAATAAGCTAGCCTGTCAGAAGAACATGTTGGCACAACTCGAGCAGTCGGTAAAACAGAACATTGAGCATATCTACGAGCTGCAACCTTTGAAGAATGGGTTCCTGTATGCTCTTCCGTACGTCAAGGCTCTATCGGATTCACCACTGATTCAGGGCCAATCTGCATTGCTCAAAGAAATCGATGCATTGTTGAGTGCGGAGATAAAAGACGAACCCTAAGAGATGAAACAATTTCGATAGTTTAGGCCGGTTTAGGCCGGTTTAGGCCAGCATTTCGTCTATTTCGTTTTGGTACTCTAAGGTTTAGGCGACAATCATTCTGCCTAGGTCGTCACGTCAAGATTGAAGACGGCCATGATTGAAGGAAGCTACGATTCAAGGTAGCTAGCTATATGATCTATAGTGGTCATTACTTTTGTCTAGGTCTAAATCTAAGGTCTATGCTTTTACTCCCATCCTCTACCGTGACTCCATCTGACTCTCCTCATCTGAGGGGCTATCGTGAGCATGAGGTAGAACACCCTTACCTTGGGGCACTTCCTCGTCGTCTATATCTGCCAAGTACATCCACCAAAAGTACACGCCGCAGCAAAGGCTGCCTCCAATAATGTTGCCAAAAAGGGCGGGAATCATGCCTGCGACGATTAGCGGAGATCAATTGATGTAAGGTGAGCGAGATTTACCCTTCCAGATGTAAAGCCCGACAGTCAAACCAGGCGTACCCATCCAAATACCCAAAGGCATGAAGAACATGTTTGCGACAACGTGATCAAAGCCGAGAGCGACAAAGGCAAAGATGGGAATCCACATGCCGACCACCTTGGAAGTCAAGTCCTTTGCTTGCACACCCAGAAAGCATGCGAGGCAAACGAGCCAGTTGCAGCCAATTGCGCGAAGGAAGATTTGATAGGCCTCGGGTGCGATTTGCTTCTTTGTTGTATAGGAGATGATCTCTTCTCTGTATACTTCACCGTCAAATATGCCTCCAACTGTAGACGGTGTTAGCCAATGTCTGTGAGTGAAGGTGGGTGTGACTTACAGCCGACGATGATGGCCATGACAAACAAGCATCCACCAAGATTGCCGAAGAAACATAGGAACCAATGTAACAGCATCCTCCATATCGACAAACGTCCATTGAGCACAGCCACAAAGGTGAACTACCCAAGTTAGCCCAGCCCTACCACTTCTTCACTAACAGTCCAACTTACCAAATTCGTAGAAGTAAACAGATCAGCGCCCGTCAAAATAACAGTAACCAATCCCAAAGGAAAGACCAGAGCACCAATGATCTTGATCAGACCAGGCGCGTTTTCTTGGTACCATGGTGCAGTCAAAGCCGTTAATGACACCGCGCATCCGAAAGCTAAGATACAGCCGCCTGTGATGCCTGAAAGAAAGACCTTGTCAGGACGAGAACGGCCTTTTTTCACGCCAGCGCGACAGATTAGTTCTGCTGTTTCGGCGGGGGAGTAAGCAGCAGGACTTGAGACGTCTATTGATTGAGGCATTGTGATGAATTGATACTGAACCAAACTACCTACCATACAACAGCAGAGCTCTCGTCTTTATTAACATCTTCCAGACATCTTGGCATCTCGGCATTGCACCGTCTTTCCCACCATGCCGAGCAATATCGAGAAAACTCCGTCTAGCGGTTCCACTAACTAGCTAGACTGAAGACCTTCTAGACCGGTTTCCTTCTTATCTCGTTCTTCCCGATGCGTCATAGTACAAGAACGTGGCGTACAACCAGTTTGTCAGAAAAATGAGGAAAATGCTACTCTGTGGGAGAGTGGTTGGCTGAACCTGCATTGAGGCTCAGCGGAATCTTTTTTAGTTGATGATCAAGCACATTTCCAGAATACCATCCACGACTGTACTCTCAATCAATGAAAGTGAGGTTATTTTGAGGGAGCATTAAGGTTATTGCTTCGCCCACTTCTCCACTGCCGATCACGTACGTATAAAATTATGCTTAATAGCTCATAGATAAGGAGAACGACAACCCCCCGGGGAAACACCGTGGAGAGGTGAGACAGGTGGGTAAGAGTCATTAAGCTTAAGGGTTAAGCAAGGATTGGATTCTAATCGTAAGCACGTAATTGACCAGGTACATATCTTTTGCGGAGCCGCATTTCGGAGACACGGGTCAGAGATACGAAAATGAATTACTCTTCCTATTTTGGTCCACCACAGGCTAGACGCTGGGAGACGGTACTCGGGCGATATCGGCATTTGGATTCATCTAGAGTTGAGAGTGATTATTCTGTGGAGCATGACGCATAAGCTAACAGAGATTTCCGTTGATTCGTCTTGTTTCACGATACCGGTTTAGTTTTCCGATGTCCGGTCAAAGATCGTCAAGATGCAATTTCATATCAGACTGGTAAAGATTGACATGTGCTGTCTCGAACAGTTCCTTGACTATCCACGTTGGTAGACTAGACACTTTGATACGCTACTATCATTGTCCCCATGGGGTTCTCTTCGGCACGAGTTTACCTACTCGCTGTTTGGCAATGGTCTTATCGGGCAGTTTTGCCCGGTAAACTATGGGACTGACTACCTTGATATGGTCGGTCAGGCCGCGATCTTTTGCCCAACTTCCATTATTCCGGGATGTTTCGTGCCAAGAACGTGACAAAATCAAGGATATCGAAGCGAAGACCGGGAGAAAAAAGGCTCTAGAATCTGTCTCTTCGTTTGATATTCCAGAATTACTCCTCAAAATCCTTCTATAGCTCCATTTATCCCTACCCGTCCTTTTCACCGAGCTCACCCCTGCTTCACCGAGCTGTCCCGATTATCCATAAGCTTAAGCGCAAGAGGAACCGGCCAAGCAAAATTATCAGTAGGATCCCCTGTCACTTCTCCCGTGGTAACAATATCGATGACTGCCACAGCAGTATATCCTCCGAAAGCGGTGAGAACATGCCACCTGATAATAGTTAGCTTACCCACTGGTATATAGACTAGTCATGGGACTTACCATCCGTGTAATTCGAGTAGGAAAGCAAAGGGAAGACCAATGGCGTGTCTTGCATTTGTTAGGTATCGGCAGGCGAACTCGTCGATTAGCCAGACCATGTATCCAAAGCCAAAGGATCCTATGAGTATCAGTATCATCTTGCAGACCAGTTTTGATATGGTTGCTTACCAAGACCCAGGACAGCAATGTTTTGAAATTTCTTCTTCGTAGCAGGGTCTTTCACCTGCTGAGGAATAATCTTCAAAACTCGTGTAGCAATGACATAAATACCCAAGCCAAACGTTGTAGCATGGAGCAGGAACTCGTCCATGACCATGTGTGTGACCATAACTACCGTAAACATGATTGAAAGAACAATTCCAATCAGCCTCGTCTTTTCCGGCGAGGCCTTGAAGCTGAGAAGACGGTAGATCAGAGGCGTAGTAAGCAGATGCATCGATAGCTCATCAGCTAGAAAAGTCAGCATGAATGACATAAATTGAGGCATTGGACTTACACATCTGAGTGTGATACTTCAGAGTCATGTGATACCCAGCCGAACAAATTCCCACACCCATAAGTCCACAGTAGGAAATCAACCGGGGACCCGTGGGGAACTTGGGCGAGGTCAACAAGCCATAGAGTCCATATGCCACTAGACAAGGTCAATTGCAGATCCCAACCAATTGGAGATGAAACAAACCATATGTAAGACTACTGATGGTATTGATGAATTCAGCGATATATCGCGTAACCACATAATCCTATAAATGACATGTCAATTGCAAGCTTCCAATGCAGAAGATTCGAGGTATTTACCTCTTCGCAGAAGCTGAATCAGTCAGTAACCACACTCCAATTCTTTTCATGGCGGTACATACTTTAGATAAGAGGTCTGAGGACCCCAAAACGAGTCCACCATACTTGCTATTATTTCTTGTGTTGTTTTTACTCTTCACGATCCTCCCTTCCAAGAAACTTTACGTATCTTCCAGGCGGTGAAGTGCAGCAGAACCACAAGATACCTCGGAACAAGCGGGATGACGTTGTTATCGATTTGTGGACAATGCGCATTTTAAAAATATGGCATTTCCGAAGAAAGCCAATGTTGATGTTTTATTGGACGCCTCTTTTTAAAGGGCACCTTTTTCATGATATTAATTGTCTTGGCATTCATATTTGACATTTTACACCGTGAATTGCTTGATAAGGAGGTTTGATTGAGGACGCCATCTATTACTGAGAATTCTGCATCAAAAACAGCAAAAAACATACAACAGCGGG